GATCTCAACGACTCTTGAGATCATGACCTGAGCCAAAACCAAGAGTTGGGACACTTAACCGACTGAGCCACCCAGGTGCCCCTGACTGCAACATATTTTATATTCACAGACATAGTATTCTCACTTTGTAAAACTCTCAGAACAGGATGTAAGTCCTGCTGGCAAGAAGATAAACACAGTCTAGAGCTTCTGAAGCTTCATATTTTCTCAATCACTGAAATGGTCCTTATATTCGGGACAGGGGTCAGATGACTAACTTCATTAATGGATTTCATTACAGACAAAAACATTCACTGCATTAAGATAAGCCAGCATGAAGTTCATGCTCACCATTGAACAAACACACAGCTGGCCCTCAGCTCCACCACAGGGTCAGGATACAAAGGGAACAGCAATGCCCTTGATAGAATATGACACACAGGGACAGAGGATCTCTGAGCATTCAACAATTCTAGTCATAAAACCTATTTTCCAGGGCGCCTGGGTGGCTCAGTCGGTTAAGCGTCTGCCTTTGGATGTGATTCAGATCAAGCAAGATGTGTATCCAATCTACCAACTTACTGAGCTGATTCCTGTGCTCACCTATCATCTCCTCTGACTTTCACATAAACAAATAAATCTATTAATACTTTTAAAGCTGGAGGGGCTTAATATCTAAATAGAATAGAGTAAACCCAAGAAGGAAACAGAAACAAAAGCAACAAAATTCTATAGCCATTCCCCCATCCTCACTTAGGATAAGTCAGGATGATTTGAGTGCCGAGATTTCTATATATAGTTTAATACAGTCTTTGGTTTCCTATTTCTTTGAGCTTGGTGGTCCCAAATGTCAGTGTATGAGAAATACTGTCCAGGGTTATGTACACAGAATTCTGCTTCTAGCACATGGCAGACTGAAATGCTGGATTAAATATCCTGATAACCAAAAAACCTTTTAAACCACGGCGAGGCTCACAAAAACAGTAAATCTAGAAAGAAGAGAAAGCAAAGAATATTGTTGGCTGAGCAGAGGTTGGAGGGAGGGGAGCAGGTACGGGAACCTGGCTTTAACATCCAGAGTCTTCAGGCCCATGTGCGGATGGCAGTAAAGGGCACATAAATCCGGGACCCTTGAAGGATGCTCCAGGTGAAAAGAGGGAGAGAAAAACTCCACCCGCTGACCAGCAAGAGGGTTTACCGCCACTTGAGGCTATGTCTACAGAGGGAGAAAAAAATCCTCTCATGAGAGCAAAGCATCAGGTAGGTGTGCACCACAGAGGCCTTGATGTCCCATGTGGCGCAAGAGTCCTGGAGCTGTGGAACTGACGGACAGACCTGGGCCAGTCACACAGGCAAAAACATCTAGTTCTCAGTGACAAGTTATGACACACCCACACAGGCAGGAGTCGGCAGACACCGTCCAGGGGTGATCCAAGAACTGAAATAATAAAGCAACAATCAGAAATTCAGAAATAGACGGTAGCAACCATGCTCAAATAGAAAAATGAAGACCAGGAACAATTAAAAAAAAAAAGATGACTGAAAAGGAGGCACCGACTTGAATAAGAACTAGAAAGAATATGCTGGAAGGCAGAAGAAGTCATGGAAAGTAAAAGCCCAGCGAATGGCTGACGCAGATGCCAGGCAGCTCAGGAGCAAAGAAAGGCCTGGCGAAGCTCGTGAGGCAGCGGCAAAGAGGCGGCGCTGGGACGTGTCAGAGGGGCGCATGGCACACGGAGCGGCGAGGTTCACTACGCTGCCAACTCAAGGTCCAGAGGTAAGACCGGAGAAAGAGGTCATATTTGCAAAAACAAACTTGACAGAATTGATCAGGGAAAAAAAAAAAAAAGAACCCTCAAGTTTAATAAGCACAAGTCCCAAGCAGGAGTTTTAGAAAATCTGAGGATTTTCGACCACAGTCGAAGGAGCAGGACCCTAAGGACGGAGACGATCTTAAAGGCCAGCAGAGACGTAAACGGTGCATGGGGGCATTCTGCGGTTTTCAGGGGTAAGGGTGAAATATTAGACTCCCCCCCGTAGGTGCCAAGGTTAGAACGAGGCCCACGGGCCCAGGAGAGGCAGGCAGGCAGCCCACGACTCGGCTGCTGGGAAGACGGGCACCGGCCCACGGACCCAGCAGCTGCCCCAGGCCTCCCGGCAGCGGGAAGAGACCCTGGGCTGCTGAGCCCGGGAAGCACGTCTGTGCTGCAGACACAGCTCATCTCCAACGCCCTGGCTTCAAGTCCTGGCCCCGCCGCCTACTATGATGGGACTCGGGACACGTGACCACAGCGAAGAGAGATGAAGTAACATCACTCCACCGCAGTGACGTCCCGTGAGGACTCAATGACTGGGGATCTGTGGGAACACCATACGAAAACTGTGGCAAGAGCAAAAGCCATTTAATAATGACCAGGATTTTGTGATGCCCTACAATCTTCACTTTGCTTTTTCATACATTATCTGATCTGCCCTTTGTAACAAGTCCCTGAAGCAGGACAAATACTAAGTTCTCCTGAAAACTGACCGGGGACAGAATGGCCCACTGGTTCAGAACACAGGCCAGCTCTACCGCGTCCTACAGCCACGTGGCCCAAGCAAATCACTGAACTGCTCTGGGCCTGCTTCCTCACCAGGAAGGAGGAGACAGCCACTGCGACCAACTCACAGATAGATTTATTCATTCACACTTAAATGCCTACTCTAGGCCAAATAATAAACTTGGCACACTATGAAAAAACCAAAAGACAAAAGTCCCTGCCTTTACAAAGCTTCTACAAAGAAAAACAGACAAGGAACACACACACGGTCTCAAGTAGTAAGAACTGCAATGAAGGACACACCCAGGGAACAGAGTGATGGACAGTGGCAAGGCTGGCTCACATAGGACAGCCAGGCAAGGCGTCTCTGAAGACATATTTGGTGGGGGTTTTTTTTGTTTTTTGTTTTTTTTTAAGATTTATTTATTTATTTGAGAGAGACCGTGTGAGTGAGCAGGGGAGGGGCAGAGGGAGAGGAAGAGAGAGAATCCTCAAGCAGACTTCCTGCTGAGCAGGGAGCCCGATGCGGGGCTTGATCCCAGGACCCTGAGATCATGACCTGAGCTGAAATCAAAAGTCGGATGCTCAACCGACTGAGCCACCCAGGCGCCCCTGAAGACATGATATTTGAACTAAGATCTGAAGGGTAAGAAACGAGTCTTGAAAAGAATGGAAAGGAACAGTGCTTCCAGCTAGAAGGAAGAGCACACACGCAGGGGACTATGGTGAGGGGTAAATGAGAGAACCCCCGTGCTCAGCACTGTGCACGGCACACGGCATGCATCTCACACCCAGCAGCTGTGATGAGGCCTGTTACCGAAGCCTCAGTGCTGCACGGGGTTGGCCGGTGGTTGTACCTTTCCCGAGAAAAGCATCCACTGGAGGGAGGGATGGAGCAGGGTTCCCTGGCCTTACACAGATGCCCCAAACCCACTGGTGATTAACCAGCACCAGCAGAATCTCCCAGCTTGGAGGAGGAGGGAGAGAGGATATGAGAGCCTGAGTGGGCTCAGCAAGGGAGGGACAGAAAGTCCACTGGCCCAGCACTGCCTTGATTCCTGCCATCTTGCTCATGCTAGTCCATAGTCTGGGCTTCTCTGTTTACTAAAGGAGTCCAACCAACATACCTTCACTGACAACTGAGCTCACAGGCTTAGGCAGTTAAGAGAATGACTCAATGTCACAGGGCCGCGGTGATATGGCTGAAATGAGAACCCAGGTCTCCTGACTTAACATGCATCCCTCTGCTTCTCCAATGGGCCACTCTCCTCTTCCAAACTAGAACTTGGGTCATCTCAGGTCAACTGAATAGGCTCCAAGCTCCTACTCTGAAGGCAACGCCGAGCAGCCCCCCTCTCAGGCACTTAAAGCAAACTGTGTACTAAAATGGAAATAAACACTATTAACTTGAACCCCAAATTAACTCACGTATTAGTTTTGCACTTAACTGGGTCCTGCAGCACCCAGTGACCCTGTTTAAATTAGAATCTGACCTATATTTTCTGAAATTCTAAAATACAATGAAGCAAAACATGAAAACATTCAAGCCTGAACTGATACTTGGTTATTAGCCCTGCTAAATCCTCATCTCCTTGTCTGGTAATTACCCCTAGACAGCACTCTCCGATAGAGTTTGGCATCTTTTAGGGAGATACCAGGGGAAGACAAGAGCAAGGTCACGTGCTTATCTTTTCCTTACTCCTCACTCTGTGCAAATGAAAACTCTAGTGTCAGAAGATTTCAGAAAAAGTCATCCAAAACATTGTGAGAGACAAAATGACTTTTCATATCAGGAAGATGGGTGTTTTAAAATCACTGGTCAGGTGGTCAACAGTGTTTGTGCATTTCTAAATTTTAACAGAATAAAACTACAAATGATTATATGAAAAGCACCAAAGGGGTTCAGCAAATGGTACAAATTTCTGGGGTTTGTGCTTTCTGTAGAGTTAGGTCATCAGGATGTGCATGATTCTCTTCCAAAGAATGTGGGTTTTACTAGAATTGTCACAATTACACTGAAATGCATCAAATCTGGAGATCATTCTAACTTGAACTTAAGCTATTTACTTCAAAAACAGATCAAATTATATACCGTACCAAGATTTTGATGTGGTTCACTTTCTTCAGACTTTCTTGTAACCGTTGACTCTGCAAAAGACAAACAACAGCTTATAATTACCATAATTTCATTAAATTATATGTATTTAATAATTACTTATTATAATTTCCCTAGATTAACATAACATATTAAGAAATGGTTTTTAGGAGGGTCTTTGCAGGCCTGAAAACAAGGATCTCAGGCAGATAAAGCCATTTGTCACTTGGTGGCTCCTGAGGTAGGCTGCCAATTCTTGCTTTTCAACGACTGCAAACATTCCCCGATCTTTCAGTTGCAAGTTACATGCAGTGCTTCCAGAAAGGCTTTTTCTAATAAGACATATGTGAATTTGTCATATTAGCAACATAAGTCATTCATTCTTTCAAAACCTACTCAGTACACAAATGCAAAAACAAACTACTATACCAAACTAAAAAGCTTCCACACAGCAAAGGAAACCACCATCAAAATGAAAAGTCAGTCTACTGAATGGGAGGAGATATCTGCAAACAATTTACCTGACAAGGAGTTAATGTCCAAAATATATACAACTCCTACAACTCAAGAGCAAAAAACCAAAATCTGATTTAACAATGAGAAGATCTGAATAGAGATTTTTTTTCCAAAGAGGACATCCAAATGGCCAAGAGACACATGAAGAGATGCTCGGTATCACTCATCATCCGGCAAATGCAAATCAAAACCACAATGAGATATCACCTCACACCTGTCAGAATGGCTAGTATCAAAGAGAAAAGAAATAACAAACGTGGGCAAGAATGTGGAGAAAAGGGAACCCCGGAGCACTATTGGTAGGAAAGCAAACTGGCATAGCCCCTATGGAAAGAGTATGGAGGTTCCTCAAAAATTTAAAAATAGAACCACCTTATGATTCAGCAATTCCACTTCTGGGTATTTATCCAAACAAAGCAAAAACACCAATTTGAAAAGATATCTGCACCCCCTCCCCCATGTTCACTACAGCATTATTTACAATAGCCAAGACGTAGAAACAACCTGAGTGTCCATCAATGGATGGATGAATAAAGAAAACGTCGTATGTAATATACGTACACAAGGAAGCATGATTCACCATAAAAAAGAATGAAATCTTGCCATTTGTGACAACATGAATGGACCTTCAGGACATTATGCTAAGTGAAATAATTCAGAAAGAGAAAGACAAATAGTGTATGATATCACTTATATGTGGAATCTAAAACAAAACAAAAAACCCCACAGGCTCATAAATTCAGAGAACAGACTGGTGGCTGCCAGAGGCAGGGGGTGGGAAGTGGGGCAAATAGGTAAAGGTGGCTTAAAGATACAAATTTCCAGTTGTAAAATAAGTAAGTCACAGGGATGTCATGTTCAGCGTGGTGACTATAGTTCATAACACTATATTGCATATCTGAAAATTGCTAAGAGTAAATCTTAAAAGTCCTCATCAGAAGAGAAAATAATTCTGTAACAGTGTATGGTGACATGTGTTAACTGGACTTGTAACTGTGGTGATTATTTCCCAATATACACAACTATTGACTCATCATGTTGTACACCCGAAACTGATATAATGTTATATGCCAATTATAGCTCAAAAAACCCCACAGAACTACTGAGTGCAAATGTGCGCAAGACACAGAACCTGATACTGGGGAAGGAAGAGCAAAGATAAATGAGGAGCTGTTCAGAGCACAGGGTCTGGAATAAGCACATCTGAGTTCAAAATCTCACCTGTGGGACAAGGATTAAGTCCATCTGCCACTTACTAGCTATGACCTTGGACACCTTATTCAGCCTCTCTGCGCTTCAGGTCCCTCGATGATAAAATGAGGAGAGTAGCTATCTGACAGGGTTGTTGTGTCAGGTGCCTAGAAACAGTCTCCAGAACACCGTGTGCATCACGTCTGTGTGATGACCTACCTACTGCCTCATCGTTCTATAGTCGTTGTTGTTGTTTTTAAAGATTTTATTTATTTGACAGAGACACAGCAAAAGAGGGAACATAAGCAGGGGGAGTGGGAGAGGGAGAAGCAGGCTTCCTGCGGAGCAGGAGCCCGATGCGGGGCTCGATCCCAGGACCCTGGGATCATGACCTGAGCCGAAGGCAGACGCCCAACAACTGAGCCACCCAGGTGCCCCTCATCGTTCTATTGTTATCTCAATCCGAGGTCTCTCATTATTGATGTGGGGATAAAAGAGCCTCTACGTTATGGGTTTGGGGTTCATTCATTCTGCAGTTATTTACTGAGTGTCAGACACTGGAAAACCCCTCATGAAAACTACTTCTTAGTATGCTGCTACCAGTGGACTTCATATCCTAGGAAGTGCAAATGAAACCGTGCATGCACAGTGCGTGGCATAGTGCTTTGCACTGAGTAAATGCTCACTAACTGCTTCCCAGGAAGATGAGGAGAACAATGATGATGAGGATGATGGGAGGAAGCAGAGGAGGAGGATACAGATTTCTGCCTCCACAGATGGACTAGGAGGCATGAACATACAGATGACCACACGTACTACATTCCCCGGCAGTTTCCCACATGCTGGGAGCAGCGCGGAGTCAGCGACAGGCCATCAGACGTGGTCAGCAGTCCTGTGACCAGCTACAGTGTTTGCTTGCAGGAAGACAGAGCTGCAGTGACCTCCAGAGTTTGGTAGTTAACGTCTCATTATTTTCCTGTGCTCTGTAAGCCAAAGGGAATTGCAGAGCCCTCCCCTGATGCCCAGACCTTCCCCAAAGTGACTAAGTTACCATGGCAATAAAGGCCTCCCCTTCTGAACAACCAAACCTCAAAACGTGAGCTGACAGTCCAGTGACAAAATTTTTTTAAAGATGTGCTTTTGTAAACCTAATGAACACAAATCTTGAAATTATCTCATGTAAAAATCAAACTACTTCATTTACAGCATTTCTGCTGCATGAGAAAGGAGTCTCAGGATGAACGATCCTGACATTACAAACCCAAAGACAGCTGCTACGGTGACACAAGATACGAATTTCCCCTAAACATAAAAATGACACGTGAGGAAGTACTGATCCCACAGAACACATTTAAAACAAAGATTTATTTTTAAATCCATCTGCATGTGATCAAGCACTACTGTGAGAGCCTCACACGTATGCGCTCATTCAGTCCTCCTAACAATCTCTTATTACATCACCCCCGTCTACCACGTAAGCCAACAGACTTAGAGAGGAGTCGGCAAGCTTTCAGACTCAGCTCAAACTGCATAAACATGACTTTCTTTGCTTTCTAAACTAGAGCATAATGACACATTTTCACAAGAACGCCTCATACAGAAGGAGAATTATAGAACTGTCCCTAGAGCCTTGCCATTTGGGAGCCCAAGCCAGCTGGTATTAAAAATACGCAGCCCATCCATCATCAACCCCCAGTGGCCATATTTCCTTCCCCCTCAAGAGAGAGCCAGTCAGGGGCCACATTTACCTCCCGCCCCCTTTTGCTTCTTTCACTCCTTGGCTCTCATCTTGTGACTTCTTTTCTCATCCTATGCTGACATGGACATTCATCTAATCTCATTTCATGTGGCCACAATTGTTGGGACACCCCAGCAGTCCCTCCCAGAACTCCACACAGGAAATGTACGCATGCAATCTGCTTGCTTATGAGAAGCCAAATCCAGACAAGAAGGTCATGGATGGTGGGTGAGGCAATGAGGCAATTTTCCGTCGCTGCTTTTGCCACAGAGTACTGGTGGCTCATTTATTTACTATTTTTATTTTTGTAAAGATTATTTATTTGACAGAGAGAGACACAGCCTGAGAGGGAACACAAGCAGGGGGACTGGGAGAGGGAGAAGCAGACTCCCAGCTGAGCAAGGAGCCCGATGCGGGGCTCTATCCCAGGACCCTGGGATCATGACCTGAGCCGAAGGCAGACACTTAACGACTGAGCCACCCAGGCGCCCCTGGTGGCTCATTTAAACTTGAGGTTTCTACTCACCAGTTGGCAGGCATGCTTAATCCTCTCCACAATCCCATCGAGGCCCAAGTACTGTAAAGACAACCACAGTGGCAGGGCACGGAGTTTGTCTGCTGGCTTGTTTGATGTAAGACCGGCAACTAAAGTCTAAAAAAAGCCAATATGGTTTTAGCGATCAAAACCAGTGAAGACACACAGCAGAATTATCTAGTTACCATTTTCCTCTGCACTTAGTATGGTTCAGATGCTATGCCAGGCACTTGGCTTGCCTTATTCATCTGACCATCTAACGGCCCCATGAGGCAAGTATTCTAGACAACCTAGGTCAGAGAACTTGCTTTCAAGGGCTCACGGCTCAGGTGTGGCAAAGCCAGGATGAGAATCCAGATGGGTCGTGTCCCAGAGCCAGAACTCTCAGGCACTCAGGAGGAAGCCCCTTCCAAGGCTGTTCTGAGTATCCTCAAACACCTGGCCATTATCGACTGAGCAACACATTAACTGTTTTAGTAAGAATCACTTAAAGCTTATTTTGCATAGGCCTATCACTAACTGATCTACTCTTAAGAACCACTTCTTAGAAAAAATATGTTACAACCTTCTAGACAATGGGGATCAAGAGCTTTAACTACTTTTAATAGTAATGTCACTTCAGGGGACATATTCTAAGGACATAATTTGAAATACAGAAAGATGCTCATTATTTTAGTAACAAAATTTTGAAAACATCCTAAAAGTTGACAAACAGAGAATGATTAAATTGCAGTATTTAAGTAACAGAATATTACGCAGTCATAATGTCATAAGAAGTTCCTCATACACATGGGGGCCTATGAGGAGAATAAATAGAAAAAACGTATACAGTACTGTTTCACTTACGTCAGAAACATTTTTTTGATAAAAAGAGTCACAGAAGTGGCATTAAGGAAACTTTCTACTTTTTCCCTATTTTGCTCCCAGACTTGCTAATGATTATTAGCCACTCCCCAGTCCCTCCCAGTGAGAGTGAGCTTACCAAGGCAGGATCGTCGTGTTTATAAAGGGTGACTGCAGGGACAGCCGGCAAACCCAGCCATGGACCCAGAGTCAGTGTCATGCTGTCACATTTGGTTGCAGCCTACCAGAGAGAAAACAACTTTTTGTTACAGACCATCAGAATACACTAAACCCAACACCCTCCTCCATCCATAAAAACATGAAAAGCCATCAGGGATTGTTTTTGTTTTTTTTAAAGTAGGCTCATGCCCAGCACAGAGCCCAACATGAGGCTTGAACCCACGACCCTGAGATCAAGACTGGAGCCAAAATCAAGAGTTGGATGCTTAACCAACTGAGCCACCCAGGCGCCTCGGGGATTAAGTGATTTTAAATTCCTTCTTAAAAACACAGTATTTAGTAAATCAATCACATACCAGAACTGATGAGGAGACATAACCTAGAGCCAAGGTTGCCAGATTCACACTGGGAAAAAAACACAAATTATTTACTGCTGCTTATTCACTAAGTTTATACTTAAAAAAAAAAAAAAAAAAAAAGGCTGTGTTGTTTTAAGCCGACATTTAAATGTCTCTCAGCCGGGTTATAAGTGCTTATATTAACAGAAAATGCGGCATATACCAATTTCAGCAAAACCCTGAAAATGCGCTTTAATTAAATGTGTTTCAGGGGATGTCACCTACTGATGTAATGTAATGGGTGTCTTGTTTTATCTTTCATATAAAAGATTTTCTAGTCATCAACTCTTTCCCAGAGGGACAAAATAACCCAGCTCCTATGGCGTGCTGGTGATGGATTCCTGGAGCTGCCCCGTATCCTCCCCTAAGCCCTTCTGGGAAACCACCCCAATCTCGTCCATCAGACCACAGCTTTGGGTGGAGGGGACACCTGCTCCAGAGGTGGGCAAATCACCGGAACTACGGAAGTGTTACATTTCCCTCGCCATGGTGATGGGCTCAGTAGGAGGCTTTTGTTGGGACTTGTGACCCTCAGAACACAAACCTGGAAAGCAAGCTGGAGCCACTGCAACTACTTTGCACCAAAATAGGAAAGTCTATCTATAGATGGAGGCACCATAGAGGAAATTAGGCCAAGTGACTGGGGGAGAGGGTGGGGAGAGGAAGATGCTGAGCCCTGGCTGATGCTGTGCCTAAAATAATCCTAACACATCTTTTTAGTTACGTGAGCCAGTAAAATCTCTTCTCGCTCACGCCACTTTGGGCCATTTTGTTACCTTTACCATAGAACCCAATGAGCCCTTAGAGACAAACGTTACAACAAAATAAGAGCCTGGATGCCCACTCTTAATGAGCACTGTGTGCAGGCCCAGCACGGAGCCAACCTCACCCTCCACTCACCCCTCCACGTGAAGCCATATGCCATACTGCTCACAGAGTTCTTTCAAACGTCCAATCTTATCTGTGTGCCCTACTGCCGCAGTTCCTAGGATAAAACACACAAAAAAGGATACTAAAAGCAACAAATACTTTGAGTCTTTACAGCATGATAAAAGCTTTTAAATACGTTATCTCTAAGAAGGAAGTAACATTCTACCTGTTTTACTGAGATTTTCTATGTGAACTGGCTTAAAATCAACTTTTACAAGTTGGTAATTCAAATTCTTAAGTGTGCATATTCTCCATTTTATGTACGTATGTAACAAGCAAGCTTGTTAATACTGTTACTTAAAACCTCTATATGTTTTCCTATATACTTGATGTTCTTTCAGGAGAAATATATTCAAGTCTCTCACTAAGATGGTGGGTTTGTCAACTTATACTTGTATTTTATCAATTTTTCCTCAGGTTTTCCTTTATATTTTTCAGTTACGTTCATCAGCATCCTTAACTACTATGTCTTAGTGGATTATATGAATTTATATAATTAGTGTGGAGTCTACTTATCTCACACTAACATGGCTACAGTACTTTCGTTCTGTCACTATGTGCCCAAGATACCCTTTTCCACACTTGCTTTTTGTCATTTTCTGGGTTTTTATTTAGGTATGTCTATTATAAGTGTACATAGATAAATTTGCAGGGTTTTTTTTTTAACCCAATACGAGAGGTTCTTTGTTTTAATATGCTGAAGTCAGTTTAAATATACTGAATGCTTTAACCTGTCCCCTTGATGAATCTGTTTACACTACAGGTTGGGTAGGCGGCTCCCTCTTCACAGAGCATGAGTAAAACGGAACTCGTGCATTCTCCCGACCATCCTAAACTTCCAGTTAACAGAATCCCACCTGATAAGGTTGCATACCCTCACCAACTGCCAACAAACACAACAAATGCAAGTGGTTCCTTTGCAGGGTTTAGGTCAATAAATCATTCATAACGGATTTTTGTATACAGAGTGAGATAAGGGTTAAGGTTCAATTTTTTTTTCCCATGTGGATATCCGCCAGTTCCAAGACCACTGGTGGAAAAGACCCACTTTTCTTCCCTTGAAATACCTTGGCATCTTTGTAACAAGTCAAGTGACCCTATACATGTGAGTCTATTTCTAAACTCTACTGTCTTCAATTAATCCCACAGTGTCCTGTGGGACAACTTTATATTAAGTCTAAAAGCCAGATAGCCTAAGGCTTTGAATTTTGTTCTTTTTCATAATTATTTGGCTATCCGTCATATCCTCTGTATTTCCATATAAATTTTAAAATCAGCTTATCAGCTTCTGTAAGAAATTGTAGCCTGCTGAAATTTTGATAGGGGCTGATTAATTTGGGGAAATTAGACTTCATAATATTGAGTCTTTCCACAGGTACATATCCTGTATCATTCCATTCATTTGGGTTTTCTTGAATTTCTCTCAGCAATATTTATAGTTTTCAGTGTACAAATCTTGCATATATTTTGTTAAATTTATCCATAAAGTTTTCATTTTTTTGATGCTATTATGAATGGCATTTTTAATTCAATTTCAATGGTTCACTGCTGGTATACAGAAATCCTGCAACCCTTGATCAATTTGCTTATTGTTCTAATGGCTTTTCTGTAGTTTCCTTAGGACTTTCTATCTAGATAATCAGGCCATCTGCAAGTAAAGACAGTTAATTCTTTCTAGTATGTGTGTCATGTCATTATTTTTCTTGCCTTACGCACTGTCTGGAGCTCCAAGTACAATGCTGAATACGATGAGGGAAGCACAGCAGAAAGTGGCTGCTGAACTGCCATGCTCAGGGTGCACATTTAAGTATGACATTTTATTTATTTATTTTTTTTTTAAAGATTTTATTTATTTATTTGACAGAGAAAGACACAGCGAGAGAGGGAACACAA